TGAGAAAACTATTAGGGGATATGGAGCAAAGAATAAAAACTATATAGATGGAAAGCTAAACACAGGACCCTGAGAACTAGTCTCCCACGGTAGAATGTAAATAATGGTGTGAGACAGAGTTCTAAGAGACAAAACAAAACTAAAAGTCCTTGCCAACATCTTGAGCCCAGGAGCAGGTAGAAGGAGCTCTATTTTGATTATGCTTAGCCTTGATTTATGTCTGGAACCCTGAGTGGGATGATGTAATGAGCCTGCCAAGTTCTTTGATCTGTTTTGTACAAAAACTGAAGCTTTGCAGAAGTAAAATTGCAGCAGATTTTCACTACACAGTGTGTCTGTCTGTCATTCCCTTGCATCGTATCCTGGCTATCCTATCCTTCAACCCTGTCCTCCTGTGGATAGCAGTCTCACAGAGGGACGGTCCGTGGCAAAGGCCAATCTGTTCAAGTTAATGACTTCTTCACAAAAAGTCTTTGATGGATTCTCATGGTTTCCCCAGTCAGACTTCTGGTGAGGGATCTAAAATTATATCATTTAATTCCCAAAACAACCCTGTTTACAAATTTTTTCATTGCTTCTGTTTTTCCAGGTTTCCTTACCTGAAACCAGGGTTCAGGAAGTTAAAATAAACATGTACCTGTGTTTGTATGAAAGAGAGTGGGGGAAGGGAGGGAGAGAGGAAAAATAAGAGTTTGTGTAGAAATAAGAGGACAATGTTGGGAGATCCTCCTTTTCTACCTTGTTTCTGCCAGTGTGTTGTGTACTGTCTGCCCACTGGCCCAGGTGCTTTTGGGTTATTCACCAATTTCCATGCCCTGTCTCTCTGTAGGAGTGCTGTGATACAGATGTGGACTTCTGAATCTGGCCTTTTTTTAATAAGGATTCTGTGGATTGAACTCAAACTCTGAGATTTACACAGCTAGAACTTTTACCCAGAGCCATTTCTCAGTTCAGCTGAAACAAAAGCTAGTTTGACTGACTCTTTCTGTTGTAACAACTTTAAAATTACAGCTTAAGAAATTCTGTGTAGGGACTGGAGGTATGGCTTTGGGGTTAAGCATGCTTACTGCTGTTATAGGGACAAAGATTCAAGTTCTAGCACCCACAGGGCAGCTCACAGCCATCTGTAATTACAGCTCCAAGGAATGTTATGCCCTCCCTCCTCTGAACTCTGTGACCTCCTTCATGCACATGGTACACATACATATACTCAGGCATAAAATAAAAAAATAATTTAAAAGAAATTCTTTGTAAGTGTGTATATGTGAAAAAAGAAAGAAAAATCTATGATTCCAGACTGACATTTAAAAATATTTTGTCTCTAACCCTGAGAAGTTAATCTATTTATTGTCCTTTAAAACTAAGTTCTCAGTACACACACACACACACACACACAAAGATACACATACACACACTGAAAGATACACACACACATCATTATAAATTGTTGGTGTCTACATGTACATGAAAACTTTAACTTACTTTGGAATTGTCTTTTCTGCCTACTCTTACCCACTCTAGAAAATTTTAACTAAATCAAAATTACTAAATTTAATTTTCAATAAAATGATGTGAATTGAATATTTCAGTTAGATCATTTAAATTTTATAAATCATTAGTTAAAACAGAGCCATTTGTCCAATTTCAGACCTTCTCCACTGGGACATAATTTATTCCAATAGAAAAAAAAGAACTCTTCTATTTCCTTTAAGAAGTCCTGCATGAATCTCCAATAAAAGAGTGGAGTGAGAGATTTAATCTACAATGTGTTTATTCATGACGTATTTTCTTCTACTATCCTTCTAAAATGCTATTACTAATGTTTAAAGTCCTTCCTAGATTCCTAACAGCATAACTCTCTCTACTTCATAAAATTGGCTTATATATATTTGTATTTTTAATTGATTCATCTCACTATATTCAGTTATTAATTGATTATTACTATTAGACTCTATAATTATGAACTGCCTAAAATCCAAGTCTCCATTCCCTTGGCATAGATGATTAAAGTCTAAAGATGTCAGCATAACTACGGGAAAGTGTTATGTTCTATTCTGCCCTGTTCCTGCTACACTACAATCAACTCTCTACAGAAGTTGCTTTTTAGCCCCATGCTGAAACAAGGTAATGATGTCATTTGTCAAGGAATCATATTGACAAATGATTCATGTTATGTTTTGTTTCTATTAATTAACTTCAGACAAATAAACAGGATAAAGTTTCAGCAAACTGGGTTAAGGGATAAGTGCGGAGACAGGATTATGAACCAGAGAAGCACAGAACACATAAATTCAAACAGCTCTGAGTTTTCATACTATCTGATTAACCAGTCAATCTGGGATTATTGCCGATAATCTCATTGCTCACAGTCACATGTGAGCTTGTTCATCTTCAATCACACCCACTACAAGGGAAAGTTTAGCAGGCATGTAATAAGCAAATTCTGGAGGGCTTTTAGTTTTTTTCATATTTTCCACAATTGTAACTTTTATTTTTCTACAGTTCCAGATGCATATGGGCCACAGTTCAGAAAAATTAAGAGCAGGGAAGAATTTTGGAGTTTCTGTAGTGGACATGAGATGTTGTCCTGAAACATTCGATATCATTGATTTCCCCCTGGACTCAAGGTGGTCAAGTTCCATAAAGAGGATTAATGTTTATTTGCAGAAATATGAAGCTAAAACTCTTGCCTCACTTACCTCTGTCTCCCTTCTTCTTACAGGGCCACACTGAGATTACAGATTTTGCTGTCATTATCCAAATATCCATACCACTTCCACACACAAAAAAAAAATCTTGCCCTGTCCAGCAGGTCCAGTTATTCAGGGTCTGAAGAGGTTCTACCTGAATGAATCATGAGCGAGAGAAAAGGAGACCAAGCAAGATTCAGTTGTCAAGGTCTCTGTTTATTAGGGTAATGGTTGTGGCTTATATAGCCCTCGAATGAGGAACTTGGCTTGGGGTTGGGGGTAGGGGTAAGAAGGAACTTTTCCTTAATTTTCCTAGTAAGTCATGTCCTCCACAATGACTGGGAATGATTGGACAATATTTGACTTGATTGCCTGTAAGAGGCTCCCTGTGGAGTTTTCCTATGTTATTGGGTTGCCTTGTCTGTCTTTTGATGATCTACAT